TAACCATGGCCAATTACTAATGGGAAAAGCTTCTTACTGGGAAAAACAAATTGTATATTCGATGAATGAATAGAGAGATATGAAAACCAAAATAACAGGAACACTGAACCAAAACAGTATAAGAAGGTGGAAATACACGCTATTTACCCTAATTCTTAATTAACAAATAACTATATGAATCATTCTTATTGAAAAAATAAAAATAACTTCATCTTATAATATTTATTCTTACAAGTCAATGTATGATGTACGATCACTATTACAATCCAATTCTTAGCTTCCTTATAGCAGCCAACCATGATAAATCAGCTTCAGCAACTTCCCCCGCTGATCCGCGACATCTTTGGATGCAAAGATGATGGATTCCATTCAAAATTCCGAGGAGGAGAGGTAGAGGTAATGGCTGTGGCGTGGCTGTTAGAGTGGACTTGATTTTAGTGACAACGAGAAAGAAGTTGAAGCGAGCTGGTGCATGGAATAGAATAGTATTATTGATAATGGTGGAGTGGAGTATGTACATTAGCATTAGTTGTGGTATAGAAAGATTGTGATTATATTTATTTTCTTTTGTTGGAGTTGATGTGAATAGTTTCTTCTTGCAATGGTTAGTGCAGCAGTCAAATCGGAAGACGATGTAAATGGTGTCCCAGTTATATGAGTGTTTAGATATCCTCGTGAATGGTTAGTATTTTCTTTATAATTAGAATAATACTACATATACACATTTCTATACAATATTTCTCATACAACTTTTGATATGGTAAAAGATGTTAGATAAAAGTTTATTTTTAATTTAAAATCAGTCAATCATATTTTTTTTACATCATATTGTATGAAAAAATATATGTGTAGTATTATCTTATAATTTATATGTGATCCAGAGCTTGTGATAATCTTGTGTCTTGGAGGGGCAGTACAACTGAATATTTCCTTCCCTGTACATCTCTATGATATAGATTTTGACTCAATCGTTAAAAGGACATCAGAAACCAGTGGCAGCAATTCATTATTGGCTGCAATAACTTCGCACATTCATCTTCATCTGGATTTTACAAGCATCATACTTAATGCAGGTGAATCAGTGTTACGACACACCCCTTTAATTATTAATTCTTTGATTCTATACACGTGTCTCACACTCAAACACCAAGGATATTTACATGCGTATAAGTATATTTGATAATATATTCCATTCGATTCGATTGAGTATAAGTATATATATATATATATATAATTCCTCGTTCCTAGCAAAGATGTCTTTTACTTATTTTATCAATTGCATGAATCATTCCCCACACACTCAAATTCGTTTGCTAAAGCAAACTCTTTGATTCGAAACATGCGCACTCAAGCTCCATAAATACCTTCTCATCATACTTCTGTATAGATTATATTAGTATTTCTGTCTATTTCAACCTTATCAAATAATAATGGAAATTATTTCGTATGCTCAATCCAAAAATGGACAATACTCTCTAGAGCTGAGGCAGATGTGGTTGCTTTTAACTGGGGAACAAGTGGAAAGCCAAGTGGTTCATAATATATAAAGAAGAAAAAGATTCAATAATGATAGATCCACCATCACATTTGTTTGTTTTTTTAAACAATTTCGTGTACAAATGTCTCTAGCTTTGTATCTTCATGGATTATTCATTTATTTCTGAGATCCAATGACATTTTAAAGATAATACAATCATAATCGAAAGTGATAATGAAGTTACTTGTTGGCTTATAATTACTCACGTTCAATGTTTATTGTTTGCAAAGTGTCAAATATACTAAGACTAAATTATGATTAGTGGGGTGTTTGCTTTTCTTTTTACACAGTAATATATCAATACGATTTAATTAGTAAGTAAAACAGAATATAATCCATGTTTATTTTCCCCATAAATCGGCTTTGAAAGAGGATTCTTACAAGCATTTGGGTCCTAAATATCATCCCATTTTTACCCTCTATTGACCTGGGCATATGTTCCAGCAGGATTTTCTTCGTTAAACTATTTCAAATCTAATTCCTATAAGATTTAATCAAACCTCTGTGAAATTATATGAAAAACTGACAAAAATGAAAAGATAAAGAATATCAATAAATTATCAGTAGCGCTTAGGAAATGAAAAGGAAAAGTTAGATCTTTCTAGTCTTTATGAGTTCCTTATAAAACAGGGGTACCCACACCACTATTGCTCCAACTTTCCATTTTTATTATTTAAGATCTCATCATAAAAAGTCGGTTTCTCAAATATTGATTTTCAGTTGACCAAGTAATGTTTTGTCCCTAGGTATCAAAAACAACACTCCCCCCTCGATCGAAAAATTCAGTTCATCCCCTCTTTTATTTAATGAAAAAACGTAAAAAAAAAAAAAAAAAAATTAGATCAGTAGCCTATGCCACCGGTGACCATAGTTAAGTGATTAACATTATCCAAACTGACCACACGACTAGATGTACAAATTTTGCATACAAACTAATATGACATAAATTGCATGAATGAATTTTACAAAAAGTCAATGAATAAATGTTTAATTAATATAGATGAACAATATGTCGATAAAAGAAAAGTGCTATATATTCTGTACATAACACCATTTAAATGTATTTAATCATATTATTTGGAATACTTACTGTAAGTTTAGGAAATAAGTGAACCTATACATAGGCATTTATGTATGTGGTTAAAAACAAATCAGTAAATGAAATTAATTACATTGTGGTAATTAAATATGATATTTGGTAACACAGTATGGATATAGGTCCTCAGGAAATCACGTACAAGCACTATAAAGTATAAATCCCACCAGCAACTCCCACCGTCTCCTTAATTGGCTGTAAAAAAGGCACTACCTTAGAAAAAAACTTCCTCACCAAATCCATGCGTGTCCACCCTTAATCTAAAATAAACACCCCTCAAAATTCTCACAGCTTCACACCAAAACAATGCTTCATCTCAACATCAACATTCCAAGACGAAACCATTCATCCACTTCCAGTTCACTCATGAAAATAATTCTTAGAGCTAAAACACAAAAAGCTATAGCTCTTCCACTGGTGGGTATGAATTTAACATGGTTTGCCAAGATAGCTCACACAACTGCCTTCTTGGACGTCTTGGAGAGTTGCAGTTAGCTGGTGGCACACTCGGCTTCACCTTTGCTAATGTAACTGGCTTCTCTGTCTTGAATGGTCTCGTTCTGCCATGGAACAATATGTGGCCAAGCTTTGGGCGTAAAAATTTAGGCTTCTCACAAGACCCTCCATGGCTATTTTCTTTGTACTAACAGCCACCCTGCCTATTTTCTGTGGCTTAACGTTGACAAAATCTCATCATTTGGCCAGCAAAAAGACATTTCAATTGTCGCTAAGCACTATCTTTTTTATCTCCTTCCTGACTTAGTATTCACTTCACTTCTCTGTCCTCTCAAAGCCTATCAGCTCACAAAACATAACAATTCCTATAATGTTAAGCTCGCTCTAGCCTCGCCTTTCATATTCCTGTCAACATCTTGCTTGCAAAAACAAAGGGTCTTGAGGGAGTTTCTATGGCAATATGGATAAGTGATGCTCTAGTTGTGATTTTACTTGTAATGTATTTGTTGATGATGGAGCGTTACAACAAGGAGGGGAAGTGGAAAGAAGGAGGATGGTGGGAGCAGGGCGTGTGCGACTGGCTCAGATTTCTCAAACTCTCTGGACCTTGTTGCTTAACCACCTGCCTTGAATGGTGGTGCTATGAGATCTTGGTTTTGTTGACAGGACACCTATCAAATGCGAAACAAGCAGTAGGAGTGTTAGCCATTGTGCTAAACTTCGACTATTTGATGTACTCTGTCATGTTATCATTAGTCACATGTGCATCCATCCGAGTGTCCAATGAGCTTGGTGCTAACCAATCTCGGGTGGCTTACCAGTCAGCATACGTGTCTCTAGGAGTGAGCATCATTTCAGGTAGCATAGGTGCTTTGGTTATGATAGGAGCCAGAGGTTTTTGGGGGTTTTTGTTTACTCATGATAAAGGAATCATAAAGGGTGTGAAGAAGATGATGTTGCTTATGGCTATAGTGGAAGTGGTAAATTTCCCATTGGCAGTTTGTGGAGGAATTGTCCGTGGAACGGCTAGGCCATGGTTGGCTATGTATGCCAATATTGGTGGATTTTACCTCATAGCCTTGCCACTGGGCGTAGTTTTCGCTTTCAAAGCAGCACTGGGGCTCGGTGGACTGTTGATTGGATTTTTAATTGGAATGGTTGCGTGCTTAACTCTATTGTTCATGTTTGTTGCAAGGATAAAATGGGACGAAGAAGCTTGCAAAGCACAATTTCTTGCCTGTAAGTTACAGCAGGTTATTAACGAAGATGAAAATAACAGATCTGCAGTTAATAATTCAGCCTAGAGGAAGCCTGTAAATACTTTTTATTTTATATTACAGTACAGACGACTCCTCTATCACTGACGCAATGTATATCCATCCTTGCGAAAGAATGAACTTTTAACTAATTTGCCACAAATACATATTCAGCTTGGCACATGCTAACATCCTGCAGCACGTAAAATCTCCAGTCCTTTTTATCATAATCTAAAGCAACTACTGTAAATTTAACTTCTTCCAGTAAAGGCCATTATAGCTGTGCCATTAATGATCCTAGACATTGAATTGGGAATGAGCAAGTGACTAGCATACCATATTATAGATGATACTGAACATGGCAAAGACGCTGCCAGTGAAATGACTTGAAGAAGATGCCCTTAAAATGTATTACAAAACACATCTTTCCTTTGGAGCACTGATGCCTTAGGCATTTTAACTAAAATGCACGATAATGGAGAACAACTAGCCCAGGAGAATGCAATGTCCAAAAGGCCTAATGCCAACTATTGTTAAGTCCAGTAAAGGCTTCAAGGATGTGACCATGAAAGTACGAGTAATCTCAATCAAAAGCTCGTAATTGCATCACTGATCCAATTCTTATCAAAAAGAATTGCACCAATGGACAAATTGATTGTGAAGGCAGGTATCAGTCAGCTACAAACCCAGGTCTAGAAATCAAGGACTCCAGTTCTTTGGCTTTGCCATCATTGAAGCCAAGGGCAGCCATTATCTTGTGACCAGCTGAATCCACTTCTGACCAAATGCCAAGAAGCAAATTACATGCTGTAATTTCCCCGCTATCACCTGCAATTGGCAGATTGATTAATCAATTGGAAGTGCAACAGGTAAAATTCTATAACGTGAACCCCAAAACAGAGAAAGATATGATTGTGTAAACTGTCACTGTCAATACTGTAGGATACACAACATTACAAAACAATTTATCAAAGAGATATACATTCAATATGTACTATGCAATAACTAATCAAGAAGAGAAACAATTAGCTGCATTTGGAGTTCTCAGCAAACTATGTGAATCAAATTGTATTTGAAGTAAGAGCCATTATGATGAATGCATGGCAACTGTCTCATAAGAGACAGAAAAATTATTGGCTTCGTTTGTTTCAATTTTCAGAATACTACTTTTAGTATTCCCAAAAAAGTTAAACAGTAAAATACCCAAAAACTCTGATTTTTGGGAATACTACTCTCAATATTATTCAACTTTTTTTAAACCCCTTAAATTTGATAATTTAATTAAATACCCTAAATATTTTTTTAAAAATTACAAAAACACCCCAGTAATCTACATTTACCAGATTCCGGCCACCACTGTCGGAAAATGGCCGGAATCTGTTAGGATGGCGCACTAACGCCTGAATCTGGCCGGTAGTGCGCCGATCTAGCCTTTTCCGGCTAGATCCACGGTGGATCTGGCCGGAAAAGGCCAGATCTAAGGCCAAAGATCTAGCCGTTGACGGCCAGATCTTTGGCCGTAATAGTCGGTAACGACGGCCAACAAACGGTCATCGTTGACCATCAACGACGACCGCTTGTTGGCCGTCGTTGACGAGCAAATACGGCCAGATCTGACCATAGATCTAGCCTTTGCCGGCCAGATCCACCGTGGATCTGGCCGGCAAAGGCCATATCGGCGCACGACCGGCAAGATCCAACCGGTCATGCGCCAATACGGTGAACCCGGCCACCCTCCGGCGATGATGACCGGCTGTCCGTATTTGAGATTGGGTTGGGAGTGTTTTTGTTAACTTTTAATGTTTTATTATAGGGGGTGTTTATAAATAAACAAACATAGGGGGTATTTTGTTAATTTATAAATCCTACATCGTAATACCCGCCCAATTCAACTTTTTTTTAACTTTTTTCAGAAAACTTTTCCCAAAAACACCCAGTTATTATAAAAAGAATAAGAATAATAGGAATAGGAATAGTGTCCATTCAAGAAAGCTTGAACAGTTATTATTTTCTGGTGACAGTTCATACATTTTGCATTTAATCAAAGTAAATGACGGATTTTACATTAAAATGTTATGTAAAATTAAATAAAACTATTCTATTATAGAAGTATCAATAAATAACCTTTACATTTTTCTATGATGAATCATATTTATTGTAACTCGTATTAACTATGTCTCCAACTACGTAATCAGGAAAGTTTCTCTCTAGTAACAGAACTAAGACTAACGCAATCCAGGAAAATTTTATAAACATAAAATCAATATAAAAACCACAGATGTGCAGTTGCAAACTAGTAATCCTCACAATAAGTAACCTTCAATCCATATCCACTAAAGCATTTTTCAGATAACACATCCAAATAACAAATGCTTAGAATTTTTGGATATATAACGACATAAACTTTCCAAAACATCAATATAGATTTTGTATTCTGAAATCATCCAGAGGAAAAGGCTTGTACTAACATAATGAGATTCCATGCTGACTGTTCTCAACATAATTCTCACAAGTGACAGTGACCTGTGCTCCAAAATGAGTAAACCAGAATTTAACAAAGCATAGGAAGTTGAAGGCATAAGATAGAAAAAATAACCCGCTAACTCCAACATTTCCAATGTGTTTTTACTTTTGACAAAATGCATTTTCACAAGCATAGACATCAAATCAGAAATTTTGAATTATAGAACATATTCAAGCACAAAATCAAATATTTGATTTCACACCATCTAATCGGCTATAACAATATGTTGAGATCATGTCAGCCACCAAATGGAACCTTTTCATTAATTTGTTTGCATATTCATGGATCTATTCATCACTAAAATCATTATGAAAGATGAATTTTTGGAGCATAAAAAAATTACAACAACAACCAATACATCTATAGATCAGAAAATTAGTCAAAACTAACCAGATTTTAGTTTTTGATCAATAGCCTTATCAATGGCCCTTTGAGCAGCTTCAGTCAAAGGAGGATGCTCCGGACTGAAAAAGTACATGTCACCCTTTCCAAGTAACTTAACAGTCTCTTCACGCACCTTGAAGAGTGTTACTCCATTGGCCCGTAGAAACTTTGCTGCCTCACTAGTACCTACATACCAAATCAAAACATTTCATATGATTTCTAATAATTGCATGATTCAGTATAAAATACCTCTTCCGAAACAATACATTGTAAGTAACTCAGCAATATGTCATATGAAAAATTCAAGTTAGATGCAATCAGATATTCTGCATCAGTTCACCTTCCCCTTCACTATTCTCAAGCAGCAATTTCTCCTAGTCTATTCTCAACATGGGCATTTTCAAGATTGCAAATAATGAGTCGTGACATAGCTTTAACAGCAATGGGAATCTGCAGTTGGCCCTCCTTGGATTATACAAAGTCAAAGATACTTCACCATTTTTAAGTATAAATCCTTCAAACAAAATAATTTGGAAGTAGAGAAAACTGCAGACAAAGCCCATCACATGCATACAAAACTAATATTCTCTTTAATTTCTTTCTTTACTTTATCAATTGCCTCAAATGCATTTATTTCATCACAAAAAAGCAAAACGCATTCTATTTTAATAAATTAGCCAACAGGTCTGCATAAGCACATCTTCCTTCTTCATCCACCTAGTTCAAATAGCAGAACTAGTACACATTATTGGTTAACAAATCCCTCTTCGACTTACCCCATTCACAGATTTTTAACAATGATGACAAACCAGAACCCAGGGAAACTCGTATTTCTTACTCAAAAGTTGCTTGAAATCATACTAGTTTGTGCATAGACATAACTCTGATTGAATCTAGTTTAACAACAATATCTGGGAGCATCATTTTATGTTCACTTACTAAAGGCAGAGAAATCATAAATACAACTAACCCATAAAGTTTTAAGAAATTATTTGCTCTAACAATTAAAAAATACAGTGACGCTAGAGAATTGGGAATGATACAAACCCTCAATCAAGATCCCCATGAGAAGAGCTTCAGTTCCAGTATTTGGATACTTGAGCTTCCTGGCTTCCAACTCAGCCATAGCAAATGACTTTATTGCTCTACATGACCATCTATAATTTCAAGGAAAACAAAATCCAAATTGTGAATCCCCACTAAACGCAAATTAAACTACATTAAACCAAACATTCAACGAAAACTCACTTGGCAGCTGAACCAATGCCATTTGGTGTCCTGTAAATAACCAAAAATCAAGAAAACCTTATGCTACAATCTAGTCCAGCCAAATTAGAAAGCAAAAATGAGATGGGAAGGTAGTAATTACGCTGAGGGGAGGCTAGACAAGATGGTGGCGGCGATGGTACGGCGCTTTGATTGGTAGGGTTTGAGATATGAGGATTGAACAGAGAGAGTGCTGTTTTTTAGGATAATTGTTGCACCTGCTAGCCATGTTTTTTGTGGATGGTTGCGTTTAGTTGTAGAACTTGATTGATGAATTTGGATGGTTGGAGGAAGATTGCAGAGAAAGTGAGCGGCCATTTCTTTTTAGCTTCTGCAGTTTGGAAGTTGGATTTTAACTACGGAGAATTTTCGGGTAGGAAAAGGAAACAAATATAAACGGCGGCATTTTACTGTACGAAAACAATTTTCTTGTGTAAATGGTTTCTGATTCGTTAATGACATTTTCATCCTGAGGTTTGAGGAAAGTCACACAATACTCCCTGTAGTGTAAATCCATTGCCGTTAGCCAAATCTAATTGCTGAATCATTTTTTTTTTTTTTTGGTTTTTAAAAGAGTTAATAACAATAATCCCGTTCGGTATAGTTGAACAAAAATCACCCTATAGTTATAAAAATAACAAAAATCCCCTTGACATTAACTTTTTGGTGTTAAAATAAACACATTGGAGGTGTTTGAATCATATAATATTTTATTATAAGGGGATATTATATTAACAGAAAGAAAAATTACCTTAAAGATTACTGGGAATGTTTGGAAAACATATTTGGTTGATTTGAATAAATTGGTGAATAATATGTTTGGTTGGGAGGATAAATTGGTGGATATGTTATATAGATTACTAAATTGACTTCCTTTTTAATTATTAATAATAGTATTTTTTATTATTATTTTTTAAATAATTTTTAACCCCCTACTTTTCAGAATTACCAAAAACACCCTGGCAACCAAAAACTTTTTAAACTTAACAAAAACACCCCTACCCACCCCAAGCCACTGCTGGTAACCAGCCACCATCGCCAGTGGCTGCGGGCAATGCCACAGATTTGGCCGTTTCATGGCCAAGTCTTTGGTCGTGAAACAGTTAAATCTCACTATTTCCAACCATGGATCTATGATCTATGGTCGGAAAAGGCCTCACCGGCGCATGGGTGACCATATACAGTCGGTCTTACACCATTATGGCGACTTTCGACAGCCCCCAACGGCAGTCAACGGCGGCTGGCAGTGGTGGCCAGTTCTGGGTACAATGGCATTTCTGTAAATAATGACAATAACAAGGGCAATGTCATCCGAAAATTTTAAAAAGTTAGGACAAAGGGGTCTGCATGAGTGAATTGGGTGTTTTGTAAATCTTAACAAATATAAGGGTAATTTAGACCAAATGCTCAACTGTTTAAGGGCAACATGGGACACAAAATTGGATTACTTGTGGTAAGTTTTAATAATAGCAACCCCCACCCCACCCCCCTAACAAAGGTAATAATATTCCTGGCAACTTACCCCCAAAATGCCACTGTTTGTCATAAAAGATTTCGAGAATAATTTTTTACAAATCAACCAAACAACGTCATCTACTCAATTTAAAAAATACTACCCCAGTTATCTAATATTCCCTCCATCCAAACGGGCCAATAGGGGTAATTAGATAAATATTTATCCATCCATTCAATTATAAAATCTAACAGCTCACTAACAATAAGGTTATTTTGTTATTTCTGAAATCTTAAGAGGACTTTTGTTATTTGATTATACATAAGAAAAACCCCATTTCAAAATTACCATATTATCTTTTATCAAATTTAACCTAGAAAATATATATTAATTTATATAATTGATGATCGTAAATTTGTATATCTATTTCATACTCTTATTACTTATATTTTTGCTCTTTAGGTCTTAATTTCAATGGATTACTCTTACCTTTGTTTATTTATTTATTTATTTTGTGATTTTAGTAGGATTTGAATCAAACAAGAAGATTTGAGTACAAATCGAGAGTTTTAGAACATGCTTCAGTATTTTTATAATAACTTGAGTTTTAGACCTCAAATTTGGACGATTCTTGAATCATCGGAAATATGACTCGAAGGGCCATAATTCATATGTTCACAACTTTGCCATGTTTGGTAGTTATCATGCTCGATTTTGGACATCTTTGCGCATCATGACATTAAAAAAGTTTTACCGCAGCGATGGACTCACAGGTTTTTTCTAGTTTAAGGATGCACCTGATAAGTGCTTGGAAGTGCATTCATACTTAGTGATTTTAAGGGTATTTTGTGTGGAAATCAGGTTTAATTGGTTAGTTTTCTTAATTTCTATATCTCTTTTGGTTGCTAGAATTACGGGTATGTTTTTTGAATTTCCAGGTACTTAGGTGTTGAAATTTTGAGCATGCACGTTGAAGAGTAAAGAATCAAAATCGTGCAAAAACAAACAGTTTGTGAATCGAAGCTCAAATGAAAAAGTTAGGGTGCGTTTGGTTTATTATTTTGGATAGGATTTTGGGAATAATATTGGGTAGTTGAATAGGGGAGTATTACGAGGTAAAATTTAAAAATTTATAAAAAAGCCCCTAGGTTTACTAATTTAATTAAACACCCCAATATATAAAATGACAAAAATACCCCCATCACCTGCAGTGGTAGATTCTGGCCACCACCGTCGGAATCTGGCCAAAAAATTGCGTTACGACACAGACCGGTCGGATCTATGTCGTAACGCATCGTTATGGCCTTTTCCGACCAGATCCACCACGGATCTGGCCGAAAAAGGCTAGATCTATGGCCTGCTGTGGCCGCAATGGCGCCAGAAAATGCCAAAACGACGGCCATCTTTGGCCGTCGTTTTCGGTCAACGATGGCCAAGATTTGGCCGTTGTTGACCGTCAATGACGACCATTTCTTTGGCCGTCGTTGACGGCTATATTTGGCCTTTTCTGGCCAGATCCACTGTGGATCTGGCTGGTAAAGGCCAAATCGGTGAATTACCGGCCAGTTTCGATCGATAATTCACCGTTATGGCAGATTCCGGCTACCACCGACGGTGGTTGCCATAATCTGGCAAGTATGGGTCATCGGGGTGTTTTTATTAATTTTTAAACTTTTTTCAGGGGGTATTTAATGAAATTAATAACCTTATGGGGTCTAAAAGAAAAGTAGGGTAATATTTCTGGAATAATGTGCCAAACTTTATTTGGAGAATAGGATTGAGAATATGGATAGAAATAATAAGCCAAACATGCCCATGACTTTTTTAAGATTGCTCTCAAAATGATTGTCACAGCAAGAATTTGTTGTGTTGCAACGGGAGAAGGATGCAAATTGGCAAGAATTGGACATAAACTTTATGCTATGGTAGAGGATTTTTGTGTCGTGGCGTGCGTGAACATGCTGCACAAAAACGTAACTTGAGCTACACAACTCTAATTGACTTGATTCTGGTCACGTTTGAAATCAAAGAGACAAGGCTATAACTTTCATGTTTTGGTCGTGATCTATTTAGACCTAAAAAATGGTTAAATATTGATCCAAAAGTTACATCAATGCATGGAAGACAAGCAAACATGGGTTCTAGAACATGCTTTCATTTTTCTATGATAACTTGAGCTGTAGACCTCAGATTTGGACAATTTTTGAAGCATTGGAAATATTATTTGAAGCCTTACAATTCCTAAGTTCACAACTTTCCAAATTCAGAAACTAGCGTTTTCTATTTGTTAGAGTATGTGCCTGTAATGCCCCACTTGACGTACGTAGCTAATGTTTCTTCTTTTGCTCTTATTTGAGTCAGTTTATTAGTATTATTGTTTGGTTGGCCTTTGATTGAGTGGTATGTTGAATTCTTGCCTTGAATTGGTTGAAAATAGAAGAAGTTTAGTGTTCCAAGCTTCGCCAGGGCGAAGAAGAATCTTCGCCGCGACGAAGAGGTGTTGAAGCCCACGGGGAAGCTACTGGACAGTTTTGTCGCGGCGACAGAAGCTTCTTTGCTGGGCAACGTGCCGACCAAAATGTTTGTTAAGTTTTAAATATTTTCTTCCCTAGGGGCTATTTGACCATCCTACCCCTAATTAGCAGGAAAAGTGGGGAGTAAATTGTAAGAAATTTTCATGAAGAATATGTTAGTATGGGAATGTGATTGTAAGGAATCAAAGGATATGGATGGAATTTTCAAGAAAGAGTAAGGGCACTATGGGAATCCTTGTGTATAAGTTGAGCTAAAAAGGGGTTAAGTGTAGAGAACCCTTCATTTCATCCATTTCCACCGCCTCTTCCATTCTTTATTTTCTCTCAAATTTCTTTCAATCTTCCAAGGATTTCAAAGGACTTTTTTGGGTAGTTTTTAGTAGAGTTTTAATCTAAAGCATCCTAAGGTAAGGATTCTTGCTTTACATGAGAGTTTTATTATGTTTTGGTTAAAGTCTTATGTTGTGGTTGTTATTTGAAGTTGTAGAGAGAAATCAAGCTCCCAAAGGAAAGGAGAAGTGTTAAAGAAGCTATTTCCCCACAAGGTAAGTAAATTCAACCAAGTTGAGATTTGAATAAGTTTTTGAGTAGAAATTGAGTAGAGATATATGCATGTATGACAGAATTGTAGCTGAGCTGAGGAACCAACAACTAGTTGCCCAGAACCTCGACTAGTCGCGTTTCGCCAATGCCACCCAACAGGTATGAATTTTGCAGGTCGACGTCCATTTCGTCGCCAAAGGCGATAAATACCTCTAACCTCACAGGCAACACTCCACACAAGAGCGTGAGTCCCGTGGGTAAACAACCTCGAGAGCCGACCGAGGAAGTAGCCGTTGAGGAAAGCAAAGGCTACAGATACCATCGAGAACTCGAACATTATCCCCAGCATCAGCGTGCCAGTTTTAACCCAAGGCAAGATCGTCTTCATAGGCTCGTAAAACGAGTCACGTGCGTCCATCTGGCAATGATCGACATTCTGTTTATGGCCAACATCGCGGCACACACTGATGAGCATGATACACCTATCAACCCACCATCATGACTCGACCTCACGCATCACATGCCCGCCGAAGGAGTTTTGCAACAACAGACTTACGAACCATTGCTCGAGGTAAAGCTTAACAGAGCCATCCAGGCAACCAAATGAAGGCTTAGATCACATGTTGAGGATGTTCACATCTAAGAGCTCATTAGAACAACCTGGCGGAGAAAGTAGTAGTCCCCCCCCTTTACGAAGGA